GAATCCGAAGATGTCCGCCGCAAGGAGTTCACCAAGTACACCAAGAACCTCGAAATCGTCAAGGCTTACAAGCACAGCATCGTCTTCAAGGTCGAGACTGTTGGAGATATCCGCAAGAAGATGGAAACCCAAGTCCGCGCTATCTGCGACGATAAGGTCCGTTATTGCCGTCTTCACGTTGAAGCTCGCCGCTCCCCCTTCGGAGAGGAATCTCGTGAATGGGAACTCAAGGCTTTGATCCAAACCCTCTACCCAGAGATGCCAAAGACCTTCGAACAAATGTACGAGCAAGTTCACCGTGAATTCAACGGACTCGTTGAGATTCAATGGGGATCTGAAGAGAAGAACACCATGAACATCAAGCTCCAAGGACAACAAAGCCGTGACCAAAAGGTCTGGATGAAGAAGATCGAGCGCGAGCAAAACGATCTCTCCGAAACCGAGAAGCTCATCGAAGCCGCTAAGTTGAACCAATACCAAATTGTTGCTGACTACAAGCTCACCCCAACCACCAAGTACTACCTTCGTGACCTCCTCACCCTCCTCAAGAGCTACAACTACATGAACACCGAAGTTAATGTTTCCGAGAAGACCCGTGAAGGACGTATGCAAGCTAAGCTCACCATCGAGCCAATCAGCCGTCGTTTCTGCACCATCCTCCTCGAAACCCCAGAATCCCGCGTTCTTTTCAACAACATCGTTGTTCCATTCCAATTCCCAACCATGAACATCCGCCGCAACTTCGGATCTATCCACTCCGTTAGACACGTCGTTGAGAGAATCGAGAAGGAAAACCGCGCTGAATGCATCGTCAAGTCCACCAAGGTCCAAACCTTCGACAACCTCTTCTACCGCGCCCCAATCACCCCATGCTTCCACGTTCTTGCCAAGGATTGCTCTTCTGAGACCCCAAGATTCAACGTTCTCTTGAGAAAGATCAACAAGAACTCCGAAGAGAAGGAACTTAAGGTTATCAACGAGGAAAACACCATCGTTCTCCGTTTGAACAAGAACCAAATGACCGTCTACGTCAACGACGAAATCGTCAAGTCTGTCGAGAAGATGGAGCAATACGGAATCTACCAAATCACCGAGGAACTTTACAAGATCGACATCGAGGATGTTCTTGTCCACTTCGATGGATATGAAGCCAAGAT